ACAATCGCTATACAATGCCTCAGATTGGGTCCCGGTGGCCGGAGGACTACAGGCACGTCATTATCACAATGTCGCGAAGCGGAGGGCATCTCAGGCTTCTCAAATATGACAATCTGGCTCGATCTACATTATCTTTATTCCAGGGACTATCTGAGGCTATGAATTCAATTGACATGAGTGAAATCGAATCCACATCCTCTGCTCTGCGGTCCTCGCCTACTGCAAATACCATCAGAGCAAGCCATAACATCCGGCGTTCTTCACCCAGTATTTTGGGAAGTTTACTCGAAGAGAACGTTGTCCATCCTCGTTCACAGTCCCCCCAACTTATGGCTTCTGGAAGGAACGCAAGCCAGACGGACCTAGCTGAATTGCCCGTTTCTCCACATGAAGATCCCGACCTCGTCGGTGAGGCCGCAGCAGCAATGTTTCGTTCGCAACGTCTCTACATTACCCACCAGCAACTAGAGAACTACAGCGTCGAGGCCCTAAACATCAATCCGCTCACAGGTCGTCCGCACCAACCGCCCGTAACGGGGCGTCCGTTCCGATATAGCTCCCTCATCACACCACGTCCGGCAGGGCTATCTACTCATTCAGCATCCCCGGAGGGACAGGACAGCAGACCATCAACAGCCCCCAGCGCATCTACCGCGACTGGCACTGCTCAGACAGAGTACAGCGCATTCTCCACCCCGCAGCTCGATCGTCAAATGACAGTCGTGCCACAGCAGCGTTCCGCATCACACATCGAACTAGATGACGACGCTCTTTGCGCCCAGGAGTCGAAGACATGGGACTTCATGCTTGCGCAGATGGCAGATTGGGAGGAGCGGGAGCGTAGCTGGAAGAAATTCAAGGACGATATGGATAAGAAGTTGAGTTCTGGTAAGCTGGGAATGGGGCTGGGATGGGGTTCCTGGTCGCTCTCTACGGGGGGGAAGATAAAGTTGAAGAAAGCGCAGTTTGGCCATGAGAAGAAGTGGAAGAGGAAGGTTGGGTTAGCGTCTTGAATTCTCCCTTTCCTTTCTTTTTCTTTTTTCTTTTTTCTTTTTTTCTTTTCTTTTCTTTTCTTTTTTTTTTTAGGGGGTTTGGTGTTTAGTTTATTGGGGTTGCTTCATTGTTAGGCTTGATATATACGTATCAGCTTCCTTCCTAATTTCTGTTCAAATTGGGGTTGGAATACAGCAGTGAGAAGCATATGAGCACAACTGCAATGATGTCCGGTTGTAGCTAGCTTTTCTCTTTTTCCAAATTGCTTTGCTGGTATTATATATACAGGCGGATTAATGAATAAAGAGTTCTATAATATGGGGTGGGAATGTTATCTTTTCAACCTCAAAACTGCCTCAAGTTTGAGCACTTTCAAAGTTTATTTTTATTAATTTTATACCATAGAATGTCCAAAAGAAAGTAAGCCTAATGTACATGTCATATCGTTGCATTTCTTTTGACTAATTTTTTTCTGCATTTTCATCAATGTGTAGTTTGGATGCAGCATCCATATTGATCATAAATTTAAAAGATGGTAGCACCGTGCAGTTCATTCTTCTCAATATTTAACCTCACATATTTCAGAGCATACTGAAAACATCCCATCCTGCTTGTAATTCATCTCATGGGTTTCGTTTCATCTGTAACTCATGAGAGGAACAGAGAGCCGCCTGTTTCCCGCTTCATGAGAGCACTGCAGGAGCAGATAGTCATATAAACACTCTTTTTCTGGTAATCATCTCACTCGCGTTTCAACGTATGCATAGTTAGATATTTGCAGCCAACTTCCGCGGGAATATGCAGCCTCGATATCAATATATTTTCACTTTTTCGTGCCCTTGTTTTGATGCTTCATTTAGAGCAGGGAGATTTGGTACCCCCCCCTTCAGCGATCCTTGGCGCTGGGACAGCCGCCCCTTTTCAACAACTACCAGCTTCTTACTACCAGCTGCTAGACCTTCTTCTTCCCCTTCAATCATTTCCCAACACGCTTCCGTTCAGTTGCATGGGTTCCAGTATGCACTGTCTACTCACCCCCACGAGGGCCACTCAGACCACCCTGTCTCAGGCCCTCTACAGCTGAGAAGCTCTGACGCAAGAGCCTCTACGGATAACATGTTCATTAGCGAATATGCAGAATATGCAATTCGCGATGTCACCGTAAGGGGGGGGGGGGGGGGAGCAGTTGGTTGTCCTTTCAATCTTGGAGGTGAAAATGTAATGCAAAACTCCCGTGTAGGAGCTACGGAACTGGGGTAACGATCTGGGCTTCCGTTCAGAGCGACTTTCGCGGAGACAAGTAGCAGCGAAGTCGAGTTGGAGTTTGAAGTTGAACAATGGCTGACACAAGGTCTGACTGTGCAAGGAGACAGGGTTAGAGAAAGGAATTGGCATAATTACAATTGAATGGAGGGGATTGTTCTCTCCCTTGGCTCTTTCAAAACAGGACAAGCGACGGCCTGGAAAATCAAGAGTTCGGTGGTTAAACCAGGCCCTAAGTGCAAGAGCTCACGTTCCTCTGCCCCGAACCCGACCGACCTCTAGGACTTGTACTGGAATCGGATCGGAAATCCATCGGAATTAGGCATGTTAAAAGTGCCAAAATTTGTGGGAATGCGACAACTTGAGGTGGAAACGCTGATTGCCACTACCCGGCTTCAATCTCAGCATGGAATCACATTCCGAAGGTTGAGGAGAGTTTTTAGGGCCTCTATAGACGACGGGAATGTCAATATCTGAGAACTATTCCCCTCAAACTCTGGAATAAGTAGATTTACACCCTACGATCCATGGAATGGGCTGATGCCGCTGAGTAACAGAAAAAGCAGCTATCTATTAACCATGCTATTCGCATGGGACGCATTGGGTTAATTGTCGACGGACGTGATGGGGTCTTTGTGAGAGGGGGCTCTGGGAAGTCTATACGATATTGATCACTGCATGATGTATCAAGAGGAATGTACATTTAGAAATTTGGAATTAGGTGTGCATGACATTTGACCGGAAGGGAGATGATCAATCAATCATCGCCCAGGAGAGGTTAACTGCCCCTGAACCCCCCATGCAAGTTACAACTATTCTCACAGCACCAGGAAAGAAAGCATATTAAAATACAACAAACCGTCGAGAGCATGGAATCGAATCCCGAACAGAGGAAGCCAAAGGACCCAAACACCCGCTCAAAGCTTACTATCAACCCACTTAGGCTTCCGCTTCTCCACGAATGCCAAGACACCCTCCTTCAAATTCTCACCCTCATTCAACCTTTTCACCCAGCCCTCCGTCAACAATCGACTCCCATCCTCCGCCCCAATCCCTTCCCACCCCAGCTTAATCCCCTCCCGACTCACAATCACCGCATCAGGACTATTAGCCACAATCTCACCAGCAAACTCAATAGCCCTCTTAACCACCTTCCTCTCCTCAACATCCGTCTCATCCGTCTCTCCCTCATCCTCCACAACCTCATTAACAAGCCCCCATCTCTCTGCCTCGTCAACTTTCACCACCCTCCCCGTCAACGCCATCTCCATCGCCCGCTGCTTCCCCACCGTCCGCACCAGCCTTGTCAACCCTCCCGCCAACGCGACGACGCCGCGCTTAACTTCTGGTAGTGCGAACTTTGCGCCACGCTTGCTGGCAATGACGATATCGGCGTTGATGATCATTTCGCAGCCCCCGCCATAGGCCAAACCGTTGACGGCGCAAATTATGGGTTTTCTTCCGGCGCGGCGAGATAGGCCGGCAAATCCTGAGGAGGGTTGCGCAGCCCGGGGAGAGGATTCGGAGTTTTTGCGGTTCCATTCTGGTGAGTTGTTATAATGTTTTTAAGTGGTTGGTTCCTGGTTCTTAAATTTTGATTTCCTACTTTCTTTGCGTGATTCATATATTGTGGTATAGGGTGGAAGGAAACAACATTCAAAAAATAAGGAGAGTGTATCGGGAAGCGTGTTATAGCATGTGGCTCCTGGGAATTTGGAATGGGTGACTCAGAGCAAAGAACTCGACCTATCTGACAAGATTGGCATTGAATTGAGGTACGTATGGCATATCTACGGTTGCATGTACTCCTTGCGCAATGTATAATACAGCACGTAGCTGGATAGGTATGCATACGACCGAATATGGCTCGTAAAACACGATCGAATATGTAATATCCAGGAAGACACAAGGCCAGCGAAGAGAAAGGACGTGTATTCCAAAGCAATATTAAATAGAAAAAGAATTAAAAAAAAAATAAAAATAAAAATAAAAACTTACCTTTCAAATCTGCCCCAGCGCAGAACGCCCTACCCTTCCCTGTAATGATGCCCACACGCAATGACGGTTCTGAGTCCATCCATTCCCACACCTCATGCAGCTCCGCATGGCCCTGTGAGCTGATGCAGTTAAGTGATTCGGGCCGGTTGAGGGTTACTAGGAGGATTTCAGGGGTAGGGAAGCAGAGGAGGCAGTCTTGGGTTGACGGCGGGTTGGTGGTGAGTGTCCAAGGAGCCATGATGGTCTTTGGGTATATTGGGCGGCAGCATGCAGTTGGAGAAGAGGAATTGGTTGTTATATTGATTGGGAATTTTTCGGGAGATTGATTGCGAGCTTAATGGATGTTTGTTTTATTCATTCTCTGAGCTCGGCTCGTTGCGCAACGCCTAACTACACAGATAATCAATCGCAACAAAGCATAGGAGTTGATAAAGCACGGGAGGACGCCAAGAGTCGGGGAATTTTCTGGGGAATGCCGAGGGCCGTATGGCTGGGGAAAGTTAAGCCGGAAAGCCTTCCAATCCTATCTATACTTTTGAGTGGAGTAATATCATCAGATGACATCTTACCGGCAACGACCCGAATAACTGGAGCAAATGAGCTGTGCGGATCAAGATGGAAAATCCCAGAGACCAAGATTGCCGTGGTGCCTGAAGGTGCCTGGTGGTTTCACTGACCCTTCACGTAGGAAGGGCAGATACAGTGGAATCGGCAACCAAAATGAATATCCGGAAGAATAGATGAGTCTGATAAAGGAGTTGCTTCGTTGCTATTTAATCCAAATTAGTGCGGTGCATGCACTGTCTATCAGATTGACGATGCCTAGCAGAGGAGTTTCCAACTTCTACCTTGAACAGTTAGATCTCCTGATAGTTATCAAAGCCGAACTTGTGCAACAAGTGTCCCGAAAGGGAGGTTGAAAATTTCTTTTAATTCACGTACTGGAACGGAGTTTCTGATTTCCAACGGTTGTTTGTTATGTTTTCCGTCAACATCTTGTCATTTACCGGAGTTTTCTACCGCGTGGTGCTGGGCGCGGCGTTGCAACTCAATTTGCCTGTCAATTCTGAGATCCACTGCATCAGAGAATATGCTCGTAATCGCTCTTGGAAAATTTCAGAAACTCATATTTGCCCAATTCTGACATGTGAATTTTTCTGTAATAATTTGAAATAAACGGAAATACAACGATCGCACGGTTCAAGGTAGATAGATACAAAGTCATCATATATCCTGTTGACATATCTTAGCAAAAATCGAAACAGTGATCTACACTAACAGAAATACGATAGAACCATGTTAAAATAACTGTGCCATTTCGCTCTGCAACCAGAGGTTGTTTTTTCATTCAATAGAACAAATCATCCGGGAATGAATTTTGCTCGAAGGAAACCTGGCTCGGTGGTAGAAGGGTGGGAATCTTGTGAAAAGTTTGGTTGCGGTGTTGTATACTTCGAAAACATCTGAAGAAGAAAAAAAAAAAATAATAATTGGCGTGAGTACAGCTATGGGTCGGATATCAATGGAATAAGAGTGACCAAGACGGAGAAAGATATGAGGGAGAAACCATGCAGAGTAAGGGATTGGGGAGATATGAAGGGGATGACAAGAGCTAAATGAAATGGAGGTAGGTGAGTTAGTATTGATAATGTGGTCGTGATGAACACATATTCCTTCGATTACTTTCTTCGTTTCTCGTTCCTCTTTCTATCCTCTTTTCAGGCCTTCGATATCCATCCGCTATGTACCATAAAGTCAT